GGATAATTGCCCCACCCCCGGGATAATTGCCCCGCCCCCCGTTGATGAGCCTGATAACAGGTAGCAAACACCTCCTCACAGACCTCCATGCTCACCCTCCTCTCCCGTGCGCTGCTACCGCCCTCTGCAGGCCAGCCTTGGCGCTCCAGCTGAGAGCAGCTCTTTGGGCCAACCTTCCCCACCCCCCTGCTCTCCATCCCCGTGTTGAGAGGCTTTCCTGTGGCCCTACTGCCAGGGAGGCTGGGCACAATAATAAAGGGAGCCCCCCAAGAGTGCAGCCGAGCCTAGAACCCGCACCACTGCCTCCCCAGCCCCCAGAGCTACCCCGGCCCCACAGACCTGGCGCTGCGGAGGCAGTGGGGGGCTTTCTGGGCCGCTGGTTAATCCACACAGCCAAGCAGGCTTCCGGCAAGGCGCCAGCCACGGCACCACACGTCTTTCCAAAGCCATGTTTGCTCTGTGGGCCCCCAGCACTGCTCAGGCCTAGAGATGCTGCGTGGAGAAGGGGCGCCCTGTGGAGCTGAGCCCAGCACTTTCTCCACAGCCCTGGAGAGGTGCTCTGTGCACCCAGTCGGCCTCTGGAATGGACAGGGCTGGGAAAGCGGCAGGACCGGGGAGGGTCTGAGCTGCTCTGCTCCTCCTCCCTCCCCCTCCCCCCGCGGCCCTGTTGTTACAGGTTGGGGGCAAGGAAGGGATTTTCATACAAATTCTGCCCCATGATGGAGCCAGTCAGATTCTGCTGGAGAGTGGAGCTTCTAGGTCTGGTCACGCCCAGGGACTTCAAATACAGTAGAACCTCAGAGTTACGGACACCAGAGTTAAAACTGACCCATCCCCTCATGCCTCATTTGGACCCGGAAGTTCACAGTCCTGCAGAAGCAGGGACACCACCACCACCACCAGAAAGTGCAGTGCAGGACTGTGTTAAACTTAACCAGAAACTAAAGGGACGGCTTTAACCAGACTTGCAAGGTAACTGTTTCTGTGTGCGCTTCATTGAAATTAAGAGGGTTACAAGCAGCACTGTGCTTCTGCACAGCACGAAGGTTCAAAGCCGTATTAGTCAATGTTCAATTGTCAATTTTTTAAACCACCACCCTAATGTTTTGTTCAGTTACAAACATTTCCGAGAGAGGAACAACCTTCATTCCTGAGATGTTTGTAACTCTGAGGTTCTACTGACAATAAACATTGACATGTTATGGGCATGTGTGTACCACTGCCCCCCACTGGATAGTATTAGAACTAATTGTGTGTCATAGGCCTCACACAGCAAACAACTTTAGGGAGAGTCTCTTTTAGCTTGCATAGCAGGGGTTTGTGGTCTCAGAGCAGGAAGATCTGGATTCTATCCTTGCTGTCACCATAAAACCCATGGGGTGTGTCTAGATTACAGGGTTTTTTTGAAAAAAGTGGCCTTTTTTCAAAAAAACTGTATCTGTGTCTAGACTACCGCCGCGTTCTGTTGACAGTCAATCGAAAGAATGCGGTGGTTTTGTTGATGGCGGTAAACCTCATTCTACGAGGATAACGCCTTTTTTCGAAAGTCATCTTTCAAAAAAAGTTGCTATTGCATGAAAACAGGGCTTTTTCCAAAGAGAACATCTAGACTCTCTTTTAAAAAAGCAAGCCGCTTTTTTGAAAAATCTTCTTGTTGTCTAGAGGCTCTTTTTTGAAAGAGGCTTTTTCGAAAGTATCTTTCAAAAAAGCTTCTTTCGAAAGAGGCTGGCAGTCTAGACGTAGCCATGGTGGGCAGTTTAACACTACCAGGAAAGTCCCAAGTAGTGCTCACAACATTTATCAGTCACACTGCAGCAGTGGAAGCTGGCCGATCAAGACACGGTTATATTAATCACTAGCTAAAACTTTGCAAGTTAAAACAAGAAGGAATGACCAGATTATTGAAATGTGTCAAAATCAAATAGAACTCGCTGGAATTAACTAAGAAACAAAAATGTGTCTAGTCTACAGAAATCAGAGTGTGGGGGTTGGCCCGACAGAGAGGGTGGGCGGATGGAGACGACCATGGATCACTTGGGTTTGAATGGAGGAACAAAAAACAACATGTTGATGGCGTATGAGATGGAAGTGTGGTGGCTTATACTTATCTTTACCTTACGGGATTTCTGAAATCCAGACAGCAGGGGAGGGAAAAATACGAATGAAAATCAAAAGGGAGAGAGAGAGAGAAAGAGAAACAGGAGATCAGTGGGGTTCCGTCATAGCACGCAGGGTTGCAAGCGCATTGACTAACGTCCGTTCCCTCGTTAGCCGGCAATTAAGACAGGAAAGATGCAGGATGGAGTGGCAGACGGTGCTGCTGTCCTGCCAGGCGAAACGCTGCTTTAAAAAGGGCAACTTTAATACCAAAGGAAGCTTGAAAAGAGGAGAAAAGGTGCGTTTATGGAAATCAGACCACCCGTGGCACCCTGCGTCCCCTTTGCTAGCGCAGAGAGAGCGGCATTGGAGGAACCAAAGAGCTCTCGCCCTGCGGCAGGTGCGCAAATGCCCACGTTTTAACCGACATCGCAGTCTTGACGTGGGGGAGCTCACAAAGGATTTAAGTTGCAGACGGGCACTGCCTCTCGCTCCAGAGGGGCACAGACTCCCAGCCTACGCTACAGGTGAGCACGGCCACCCCTACTCAATCCCCTTCAGGCCTTTGAAAGGTCAGCTCTGAACCCCGGGTCTTGGTCCCATCTTTCCTTTAAACCCAGAGGACTTTGGTAATAAGCGAACATCAGGGCAGACTCCAAAGCAAAGCAGGCTATGAAACCGGCCGAGATTTCCCCCAGTACCAGTCTTGCTCACTGGAAGGTTTATATCCTTTGTTCCTGGACACTTTTCCATGGCTTTTTGCTATCCCAGCTCCTTCCCTGGGCAAGACCAGGGTCTAGGCCTGTGTTCTGACCCCCTCCACAGAAAACACAGCTTCGCTCATTTCACTGGAAAAATCTACGTTCAGTGCCTAGGGACATGCTTGCCAGCCCTATATCTCTCAGTAAAGTTCCGGATCATCGCTCCCTGCTGCAGGGAGAGGGATGCTGGAGAAGCAACCCCCCGCTGGGGGAAAGGTGAGGAATGGAAGGGGCAGACTGCCTCCGTGACCTGGGTTAGAATGTCAGAGAACCTGCTGTGAGCGTGGCCGTGCGCCAGGGGATGGGAGAAGTGCAGAGGGAAGCGGGGGAGAGAAACCAGAAAAATGAAGCTGCCAGGTGGAAAGCGGAGCAGGGAGAGTGGGGACAGATTTGCTGGCACCTGGGTGATCACGGCAGCCACGTTTAGTGACTCATTTAGCACAGAGCCTTTGCGTCTCCCCCAAGAACATGCTGTCTGGCTCTTCACCCGCAGAGCGCCAGGAAAGGCTCTTGATGCAGGGATGGAAGGGGCGGATGGACACCAACACTAGGCCCCAGGGGAGGCCGGGTGGCAGCCGCACACACAGCCAGGGGCCCGCAGCCAGGCAGGCCTGACTGGACACGACCCACCGTGCCGGTGTCAGGGCTGTGTTGGAACAGGTGACCACATCTCTTGCCAAGGCGCTGCCAGGCGGGGCGGGTGTTATCTCAGAGAGGACCCGCTCTGTCAGGGAGGAAGCATTCCCCTAGCGACCCAGGGCAGCTAAGTGAGGGTCTGAGAGCTCTGGGAAAAGCGGATGCCACAGGGCTCTGCGAAGCTACCTCCGGGAGGTGGTGCCCCATCCCACTCCACTGCTCCCTGGCTTTCCCACACCCTCCTTCCGCCCCGAGCACAGGGTGCCCAGCATGTCCAGTTGTGTGACATGGGACAATGCCCACTACATAACAACGGGGGCTGAGACCCACTCAACTCGCTTTGCTTCTGAGAGGCGCACATTTGAAGCCAATCTAAGCTGAAGAGGCCTCGGTTGGCTCCTCAAAGCGAGGCCTGCCTCTCCCGCCCTTCCCCTGGCATTGCATTCCCATGGGGCTCACGGCATCCGTGGGGTTGGTACGGGGAGAGGCTGTGTCAGAGCAAGGGGTGGGCAGTGTGCCAGGTCTCTTGGGGTGGGGGTTCCTCCTGCCGGGATCTCATTGGCGTGCCAACTTACCGGTGACTCTCCCATCACCCTCTCGCCGTTGTTAATCCGCATCACCCCCTTGCGCCCGTTCCGCTCCAGCGACACACTAGTCCAGGTGTTCAGCGGGACTGGCTCCTTGCTCCTGGTGAGGGGGTTTGGGAGAAGAACACAGCTGGGGTGAAAGTCACCCAATAGATGCAGCAGGAAGGGGGGGGCGGGGCGCAGAAGAAATCTCTGCTCTCTGGGCATCGCTGGGACAAACAAGTCTCCGCCGGTTCCGGGGCACAGGCAAGACCAGGGCTGTGGCCTGTGTGCTGACACCATCCATGGGAGGAGGGCCAGAACCAGTGCGGGGTCTGGTTCCCCGGATCGGAGAGGGAACCCCTTTGATTCGACTACTCGAGCCCACTGCCCGGCTGGGGCTTTGCTCAGGGGCGGTGCAATGCTTAAAGCGAGGCATATTGCAGACGTGCCCCACATGCCACGGGGCTGGGCCCAGCGCCCGCTAAGAGGAGGCGCTGCCTGGCCGTTTTCAGTCCCACTCCTCCTGCTCCTTGGAGGAGCAACACAAGCCAGTGAGCCAGGGGGCAGAGACAGAGGGGTCCTAAGAGAACTCCCCCCCCCCCACCACCCCTTCCGTCCACTCCTTGGTCCCCTTCCAAACCGCGTCCCCAGCAGCTAACAGGACCTGTTCTGGTGAGGTGATGGGGACACTTGGCCACCCACTCGGAGAGCCCAATGCGTAGCCTCAAAGCCAGCGCTACGGCATTTAGATCTAGAGAGCAGGGCCTGCCGCCAACGGGCCAGCAAGCAGCCACCCTTCCCCCCCCCCCCGGGAGGCCCATCTCCCTTGGGGTGCGTACTTGAGCACAGCTGCCCCTTTGCCCAAGTCGTATCTGTACTCCAGGTAGCCATCGTGCAAGGCCAGAGAGATGAAGTCCCCTTTGCCGTCTGTCTTCTGCCCGTTGTAGAAGATCATGCCGCTGGGATTCCTGGCCAGGAACACGACCTCCATGGACATCTTGTCCCTGGGGGAGAGAGGGCATGAGTGCCGCCCCTGCGAACCAGCCACCCTCGGCCTACTGCCTCGCGAGCCCCCGGCACGGCCTTGCCCACTGTCCCCTCTCCAGGGGCAGCACTGCAAAGTCTGCAGCTACAGGAACAACTAGGAGCCAGCCTGGCAGCCCTGGGCAGCCGCAGCCTCTGCTGAGCCACACAATGGGGCAAGCGGCTGGGTCACCTTCCTCCTCCCCTCGCCCTGAGGGCCTCAGGCATGAGTGGCACAGAGCCCTGGAGGCCGAGTGTCTCTCTGCACGAGGGCCCTGTCCACCCCGGGACCCCCTCCCACTTCGCAGTGTGGGAAGAATGGGACGCGGGGGGGGCTGTGCCCAGGGCAAGGAGGGGAGCAACCCCCCAACCCCTAAAGGAAGAGCCCTTGGCCCCTCCCCGCATCCCAGCCGTCCCGAGAGCCTGGTCTCTCCCTTCCCCCCTTCCCCTTCCCTTCCCCACTGGCTTCCCAAGCTGCTCCGTGGCCAGGAAAGGCACTTACTGCAGCTCAGGCACGAAGGTCTGCAGCCCCCTCAGCTCCAGGTAGGAGAAGCCGTTGAACTCCGGGAGGAACGGCCGGGTCTGGTCCTGCTCCGTCACTGAGTCAGAAAACAAAGGGGGGTGAGACGGGACGTGGAGGAGCCTCTGGAGTCTGCCCCCAAGCCCTCAGTTGAGGGGGGGGTGCCCGCCCCAAAGAGCCCCCGCCTCGCTCCCCTGCCTGCAGGGCCCATCGCAGCCCACCTGCCTCGCAGAACTCCCCTTCCCGCCCCATGGGGCACTCGCACTTGGCGCCTCCCTCAGGCAGCACCAGGCACGTGGCGGAGACATGGCACGGGTTGGGGTCGCACGGGTTCTTCTCGTCGGCGCAGGTCGGACCTAGGGCAGAAGAGCAGCACGTCAGGGAGGGGGCCCGGGGCAGCAGTGAGGCTGGAAGCTCGGGGCTCACGCACAATCAGACGTGCGTACGTCCCGGAGGAGTTTCCGGTCCCTGTCGCAAGGAGCGCCACTTACTGCCTTCCTCTGACAGATGCATCCGAGGGCACCCGCTGGGTCAGCAATGGGCCGGGGTCCTGGCCTGGTGTCAGAGGCAGGGCCAGGCCATGCTGAGAGAGGGACTGCCTTTCGGGTCACATAAAACCCAAGAGGCCTGGACTTTGGGGCATTTTTTTGGGTAAGATCAGCTAGGTATTAACTCTGGGGTCCTGGAGTCAGGCTTCCATTGGGCACCAATGCTGCACAGCCCCCACGGCCCTCCCCAGAGGCAGCTGCATTTCAGGGGCGATGTGACCCCCAAGGCCGGTTTGTCTTAGGGCGGGATCCTTAGTGAGGCAACCCCGACCTGCCCCCGCTCCTCACCCGTGTAGCCGTTGAGACACTCGCAGTGGAACATCTCGGCCTCCTTGCTGTGGCACAGGGCGCCGTGGTGGCAGGGGTTGGGGTGGCAGGGGTTGTTGCCGCACTCGCCCACCCCGCTGCCGTACAGCACGTCGCTGCCCTTCTCCCGCAGGTCGTACATCTGGTTGTTCACGTCCAGCAGGCGGATGCAGCCCTTGAGCCCGGCCGTGGCCGATGTGCGATCCGCCACCCTGCAGGGAGGAGAGGCAGGCGCTCAGGGGACAACTGGGCCACGGGCCGCAGGGTGTGTGCACCTGGTGGCCTGGCTTTGGCTGCGCTCAGCTGCACAGACTCCGGGGGC